TTACATTATTAAGAGTTCTATACATGTTCTCGGGTTAACTAAAATCTTAAAGAAAAGAAGAAAAACTCTGAACTTATTTTGTTTGGTCACAAGCTAGTCACATAGCTGTGAGTGAGGTCTCTATGGATTTGAATTCTTGTTAATCATTAATTGTTTCATATTGAATATCTTATACTGAAACTAGGAACAGACGATGAAACGGCTATCGTACAGTCTGTATGTAAAATATATGGCCTACATCAGCATAACCGGAGGAAGAGGGGAAGGATATGGACGTAAAAATGAAAGAGAGGATGGAGGCTAATACGATATTACCAAAACCATTGCAAAGTTAACACCTTTTTTTTAGGAGGGAAGATTACTTTCGGAATCACCTAATGGAGAACATAAAATATGAATTAACAGTTAAATACAAGATAGAAATTGACCTGTTAGAATAGAGTTGTTAAACGTTATAATCTTTATTATTTGATTGATTTAATTATAAATAATCCATTTCATTGAATTATTTGAAGGATTTTTGGTTATATTGTGTTCACGTGAACGTATTTGTTTTGAACTGACACCGAATTAAGCAGTATGAAAGTGTTTATTCTCTGATGACAGTGGTTAAATCCGTGTTGTCCCCTTTGGGACTTCAACCACGTGGATGGAACAAATCTCGTGGGGCGGCTGCGCCATGGACCTATGGACTCATCCAATCGATTGACAACAACCACGTGGAGGGTTCAACTTAATTTAATCCCAATCATGCGCCCAACCGCACACTTGGGACAATTTATAAGTCCTTTGCAGATGTCGTCGAATGGCCTAAGCAAACATCTCACCCAGCTGTAACCAAATGTAATCATGCTAGCATAACAAGGGTAGGCTACTATCATGAAATAGTTTTTGGTGATATTAGGTAGAAAAATATAATAGACGCATTGAGAATAAAAATGAATTTCTGTTTCTCCGTGAAATATGTAAATTTCTCCTCAAAATATGCATATCGAATGAAGCAAGCTCTTGGTACCTCGGTATAGCCTAGGTGTCCGAGGCGTAGTAGCCACACTTTAACAAATGCTATACCTTTGGAGACATACGCATTGCCTTACTCAAGAGAATCGAAATAATGCGGATTTTAATCCTTAATCCTTCTCGCATTTTATACACAAAGCCTTCCTTGTTTTTATGACAAACAATATCGATATTGAACTGGCTCACATGTATTGCTCTCATTTGGTGAAGTACGCAAGGAAAATGCTGTTTCTGTTCTGTATTCTGTTTTCTTTTTTAAGAGCTAAACCACATGTGGAATTGGTATCCACAAATTTCCTTACCTTGTAGTCATATTATCAGATGAAATTACCATCCGGTCGTCTGGGTAAAAATGATCCTCTCCTTGAAAGATTCGCTTTGAACAAAAATGGGGCTAGATCATTATTGCAAGCTTTTTTATGCTTTCGGAGATTCTTCCGTATAACTTTATGGCTCCTGTAATCTCAAAATCTTCCCATCTAAGATCCCATACCTTAGATCTATAAAACTATGTAGTTCTCAGTCATATACCAGTTTCTTTTCACATGAGCAGTTTCGTGCTGTGTATTATTAATTGACCTTCCAAGGAAACCAACTTTTTACACTGTTTTTCTTTTTAATTCGGTTTCGAGTCTTCAAGTAATACAAAAAGAATGGCGCTATTAGTTAATGGAATCCTTCGATAATTTAAGCCATTTTTCTCTGTCCTTTCTGGAATTTATTAGTTATCCTTACCTCCATTTTACGTATTTATCTTTAAAGTAATACTAAATATGATAAGTGGATCTAATTTTACAATTTCGTTGAGTATACCTGCACGACATATTTTATATTGCCTTAAGACCTGATAGTTTTTAAACTGTTACTTGACCCGTTTACATCACATAACTCATAACTTATCTATACATATCTAAATAATGAAATTTTGAGGAATGTTTGTTAGAACGTTTATTTGATATAAGTTCATATTTGGTAACAATATCACAGGTTAAACATTCGTGCAATAATCTGAATGTTATGAATCAAAACCTTTACTTTCCTATATGGTTTTTAAGTCAAATATTTTACCAATTGCGCTTCGTGATTTTCGGAAGCGTGTTACTGTTCATATTGTTACTTCACTTTGGAAGCTAAAAAATCAAACTTACAAAATATTGTCTTTAACGGATCCACAAAATATAGGATTGGATGCGAGTGTTCTACCGTCAATACTAACAGCTTGTACGCTGTTGATACCCTTTAGCACCGACTGATGTTACCGACCGATGGCATACCATTAAGATGATGCCGTGCCCAAAGGTACTTTTAACAGAAATTCGTTTTGGGATATGAATCGTCTATGTATTCCGGAAATTATCGCGTTGAAGGTTCGAATTTGAGCAAGAGTCTGGCGAAACACGTGTCGTGGGGTGGAGCTGGTCGGCACTTGCGACACCTGCAACGAGCACTTAAACGGCTGCGATCGTGATCGGGCTCAACGCCACCCTTTCTTTCTTAATTTTATCTGCCCGTTTGGCAATAAAACCGATGGCGAAAGTAGCGAAGGGTTTAGGATCGTTGGATTCTAAACTTTCCGCTTGCTGTAACCAACTCCAGGTCAACTCGCTTGATAATCTTAATCTTCTTAAAAATCATCGAAGGTGAGGAAATAAGTTAAACCTTCCAGAATAAGGAACTTTTGCACGAAAGGAAAGTCTTTCTGCCATTACACTTTTGATTATTTGTTTTTTTAAAGATTTTTGTTGGTTTGTTAATATAGATTTCAATATATATGTACAACTTTCTAATCAAGTGCTCCACAATTTTGTTTAATTCCCCCTTGTTCCGAATTCGTCAAAAACTAAAATAATTTATATGTTTAATCTTTTTAAGTATATAGTGATAAACTTTACAATTCCATAATGTTACCATTTACCATTCAAGGGCAAACAGGTCTTATGGCTTTTTTAAAAGAAATATATCAATAAAATATTGTTTATGTTGATTGTACTACGAAATTGCCCCAAAAATCATTTAAATTGTGAGATTTCCTCCTAGAGTTTTGTTCGTTTCCTTTGGCCTGTCTATCCTCGCTTTGTTGTGTTGCACACATATACATATATTACGTAGTACATATTTAAGGAACTTTTAAAATATCCTTATAGCAGTCTTGGAAATATAGTTAATGTAGGAAACATCTGTTACCAAATTTCTTAAGGTAGCCATACATGAGCGGGATTTCCTCAAGGTTCGGCCTGAACGGGCAAGCCTTGAAGGAAATCCGAACAGTTCTTTTTAAGCTTTGAAACCAAAATCACGAGAACAATCATCATTAGTCAACACTTGAGGAAAATCCTCTTCGTGTGTAGGCGCGGTTCGGTAAGGAAATCTCTAAGAAATTTCCGATTTGAGGATTTCCTGTACGTGTACCTTTTGGCGGGTTACATCAGTAGCAGATCAGGGATATACAGGAAGAGTTATTCTGCCTCACCCCGAAAAATTTTTATTGAGGCATTTTTGAGGAAAATCACAGACAAGTAAATTTTAAGTTTTTGTCTAGTTCCTGATGAGTCAAAAGTTTTGATAAAACTCCCCAGAATATCTCCAGAGTTATATAGCTAGCTTTACTATTTCAAATAATAAAAACTCATCAATGTATATTTTTTTAAAGAGTTTTTAACGCTGAATTGAACGGTGCAAACTTTTTTTTTAATTTGGAGCAACCGTACTATAGTTATTTGCACTATTTCCGAACATTGTTTTTCGGAAAAACCCATTCACCAATCCGTATGTTTATAATTTTAGTTGAAAATAAATTCATTGTTTCACACATTCCAAAACTTTAAAGATAGGTCTTAGCTACCTGTGACTTTTTTGTCTCCATGCACTTGTAAAAAACTTGGATTTATGTTTTCATTTTTTAGAATTCGTACTATAACATTAACCGCAACGTATACATAAAACGAAAATGGCCATGCAACATTTTTAGGTATATACTAATATGGTGGAAAAGTAATTTGGTGTTCAATAACTATAAGGGTCATAAAACTTCACTTTACAAACAGCATAATTTTTGGTTGGCAAATTTGTAATTCATTATAGCTTTGATATCGCAAAGAAAAAGATATCCATGAAAAACTGCATCTCTCTTTCCTCTTTAACAAATACATATTTCAATAAAATAGGTTTCTGTTCAACTGATCAAAGATTTCGCCATTTTCCAAAACGTGTAGCAAGATATTGAAAAAGAAAATTATGATTTGGATCCCCCGGTACCAAATTCGTCAAATTAAAATAGGTTCGTATAATTTGGTCGATGACTTTGGCCTATCATCGCTGAATCTCGGATGCATTTTGGCATTTCGCTATTTTCTATCTGGCTTTAAGGTCAAAGATTTTAGCAGGGTGAAGCACCAACGCACACCTATTAGGAAAAACTGAAATGTGCCTGCCCAAGGAAGGTATGTCAGAAAATAGGTTCAGCTGTGTCGCTGTATATAATTAGACTTTTTATTTCTTACTAGTTGAAATGACTTACAGACATTTTAGCGAAATCTGATATTCATAGTGATTTTAGAAATTATTGAAAATTTTGTCACTCTCATATAAACGATCACCTTTCACCGATTCACCCTTTTATACCGTATCATACCAGGGGTAATAATTGAAGTTTTTGTGTGAATCTCTTTGTTCCGTTTAGATTACTTAGGCAAGCCAACCGGACATTGTTCATCCTGAGTCACTATCGTTCACGGAATTTATACGGATTGTGATCTGACTTGTTATTTTAGTTTATTTTAATATATCCCAGTTGCTAATTGTGAATTTATCGAAAGATCTATCACGTATATTCATGTCAATTTTTGCAAATACGAATTATCTCATTTCCACCTTATGATTAAGGGCATGCGTGTCATCATCGGGAATATTTATCTTATCTGTTTTAAATAGATAATGGTTTCTGTATTGACTAATGAATTTTGTTTATTTTTTGTTTGCAGAGGAAAATACGCAGCAGTTCGGCGTTGCCGCGAGAGGACGAGCGGTAGGCAGTTCGCAGCCAAATTTCTGAGAAAACGAAATCGCTCGAAGGATCACAGGAACGAAATCCTGCACGAGGTGGCGGTCCTGGAGGCCTGCAAACCTTGCAACAGGGTTGTCAACTTGCATCAAGTGTTCGAGAGCACAAATGAAATCGTTCTTCTCCTTGAACTGTACGTTTAGCCATTATTAATTTATTTAGCACACGATATATTAAGCCGAACAGCAAGGTTTAGGTTAAATTAATATTGCAAGATAAGTTACCTAAACATATAAACATCCGCCAAATAGGAGAAAGTATGGAACATATTCAAAAACCAACAACAACCACTGGTTAATTGCGTGAAGGCACAATTATACTTCAACTATACTTCCTAGCCCCCCCCTCTCTCTCTCTCCCTCTCTCTCCCTCACCCTCTCTCTCTCCCTCACCCTCTCTCTCCCTCCCTCTCTCTCCCTCCCTCTNTCCCTACCTCTCTCTCCCTCCCGCTCCCCCTCTCTCTCTCCCCCTTCTTCCTCCTCCTCTCTCATTCTCTCCCCTCTCCCTTTCTCTCTTTCATTCTCTCCCCTCTCCCTTTCTCTCTTTCCTTTTTATTTTTACCCTCAAACAGGTAATTACGCACAATCTTTTGTTGTTCGGAACATTATTCCAAACAATTTCAAATATAAGTCTAATTTAAATTATACACAAACACATTTTTAATTGTGCCGTGCTGTCTGAATTAATCATTTTACGCCTAGAGTTAATTTAGTACAGATAATTTTAACTATGGTACAAATACATTAAACTTAATTATTGTGTAAGTTTAATGTATATAATTATAAAATAATTTATATATGTTATGCATTTATAGGAAGAAGTACATTCTAAATAAAGTCAAAGTAGTCTAATAATTATGAAACAATGAGAAGAAAATTTAGTTCTTATTGGATTTATGTTGACGTACAGAACTGTATTTGTTCAATTATCATACTCGACCTATGTTCATAAGCCGCGTTTGCGAGGAATTTGTCCTTGCTTGATTGTTTCAGTAACAACGGTTAATGCATATTAATAGAGTACAATTTAAATCCCACTCGAATCAGTTTGTTCGGTTTTTTTAATTTTCAAGGCTGCTTCCTACGCTTTTACCGATTACATAAGTAAACACTGCAAATCGGACAAATAAAGGGCTTTCAAAGGAACTTTTCTGTTAAAATTGTACATTCGTTGATATAATAACATTTTTAATAGAACACAGATAGTGAAAACAGTTTATTTGATTGCTATTTACTTGGTACAGTGTGTCTGTTATTTGGAGTGATCACCCCAGTCAAATTTGTAACGGATTCAGACTATTCTAGGGCATCGCTAAAAAATCGCTGAGCTTGCAAAATTTGCCCTTTGACATTATTGAGCGTGCTTAATGTGCTTGAAACTGAGCCTTCTTTACCTATTGTTCTTTTCTTAAAATATTGGCTTCTAAAATAAGTCTCTCGTTTTTCAATATTTTAACCCTCTTGTGTTTTGAAGCAATGTTTATTTAGTAATATTTGTTTACACATTCTGAAAAGGAGGAGCTTTTATTCTTCAGTTTCGTTTATGCCTTGTTTTTTATTCATGTCCTTCTTGTCTGAAAAGAAGATATCTTTGATTGTAGAAAGTAAACAGGCTACACAGGAGACGTTTTCTTCATTGATTATAGGAGTAAAAAGCTCGTTTAATAGAAGCTTGAGCTACGGTTTTCTCTTTATAGTAATAAAAAAAAATTAAATGACAAAAATGCCCTATTTTTCCACCATTCCTTCACGCCAAACACCTTGGACAAATGCGACTGAAACCCCGTTTATTTCGAAAACAATTAGCATTAGCAAGTTAATTTAGGACGGGAATCGTCTCAGAATAGGGTAGGGATGGATCATGGGGTTGGTTGTATGTTTAGTTTATACTATTTTTAAAAAGAATCTTGCTGTTACAAAAAGCATGACAAGCAAACAGCAAAACCACTTACGCGTCTTCCATCGGGCATAACTCAGAAATGGTCGATCCTATCAAAATTTTCCTTTCAGCAAAAGTGACGTAAAATAAATTCTAGAATCGAATTGTACTATAAAAATATAGAATTTCCATTTAAAATAACAAAGCTAGTGTCATTTCCCAGATAGATGAGATAGTTATGTTAAATCTGTTACCACCACGCGATTCCTGGCCAAAATTAATTGGGTTTGTTTAAGACCATTTTTGCTCATGCTAATCGTTTCCGAATTAAATGGACTGTAGAAGTTGATGCACCCTGTATTACGTACGAAATTGAAGTAAAATGTACATACTCGAATAATTCTTTTAAACAAGATCACTGGACAAATCAAATCCCATTCTTTATAATTCGTAATAAACAAAAATTGTGGAATGTCGCATGGTTTCAACACTAACAAGGGGACGTCCGGATTGGCTGTCACAAATTTGGTCCAAATTTTTTTTTATGTTTCTACACTCAAAAATATCCGATCGTAATTTAGAGATTAAAAAAATATTTTTAGTGTATAAATTTCATTGTTGGTTAATATAAAAACAAAAATGTTGTCCGACAGAATATTCTAATTCAGTATGATCTAAAAAGATAAATCAACAAAATACTGTTTTTTTAATATTTTAACGAACATTCTATAAGTAAACTAGTTCAGAAAATGGCCAAAACTTAGATTTGCCCTCATTATCGTGATTCTAGAGTTATAAAACCCTTAGATACCGACTTTCGCGGAAATCGGTGTAAATTGATTTTTGACTGATAATTTCGGCGCCCTTGACATTGACATTCCTGGTACAAGCTCTAATATCATTTTTCTCAAAACCTATTGAACCTATTTTCATGGTTGACAATTGGTTTTAAAGGAATTGTCAGTGCATTTTATTACTGTATCAAACATAAAAATCGGATCATCATTATTTAAAAAAGGAGATTAATTTCTGACAAATAATTTTCTTAATTTTTATATTTTCTTATATAAAACATTTTTATAGTACATACGTCGCTAAAAAGCTCCGTTTCTCATCTTTTAAATGCTATGTTTGACTTTAAAATCCTCTTAGCCGTTTTTGAATTATAGCCGTTTCAGTCAGATATTCCGATATCGACTTCTTAAAAATCGTAAAAAATTTAGTGCTCAAATAATTGATCAATTTAAATACTACCAAAAATTTATATTTAGGGGTTTCACGAGGTGCTAAAACGAAATTTCGTATTAGTTTCACTAGAAAAAAAATTATGACAGTTTACTTGAAAAATGTTTGGTGTTTTGATTTTTTTGTAGTTTTCGATTAACTTTGATAGCTTTTACTACAATTTTATTGCAATCTTCAGAAACAATGATGTAAAATGATATATTCACATAGTTAATTTGAGAAAATAGAACGGCGAAATAAAAATATTAAAAAACGGAAAATTTCAACTACAAAAAATTTTTTTTTGGCAAAACCTGGTCCTATTCACAAGAAGTGGTGAATACATGTCTTAAATTTTGGAGTGTAGGAATCACCAAAAAAAAAGTTCGTTCCAAATCCGTGACATCAACCTGGTCATCTCCTTGTAAGTTATGAACAAAAATCACTTCATGTTTTCTAATGTTCCATAAAACAAACTTAATCAACTTGGGAAATATGACAGACAATTTTAAGATAAGCGATNTATATTTTTTTTTATAGTGCTTGTGGAGGAGAATTGCAAATGCTGCTCGACAGTGACGACTTTCCAACTGAAGGCCAAGTGCAAACCTTTATGAAGCAGATAATGGAAGGGATTTTATATCTGCACAATATGAATGTTGCCCATCTTGACATTAAGGTAAAATTCTCGCATCATTTTAATAATCTTAATACAGAAAAATGCAAGACAGTACATTTGTGTTCAGAATAATCAGAAATGTACAGAAATCTCTAATGACGCTATTACAGAACCCATATTAATTTTAAAGACTAGATATTGTTGTAGCTTCTTTTAATAAAAAAATTCCTGATCCGGATGTTGAAATGGCCTGCTTTTTAATAGGGGATGTAAAGCAGCAGATGCTCTACAGCCGGCATCTTTTTTTTTGTCAGGCTTATAAATAGAAAGCCATTATGCTTGGTACACAACATGGGTCATAAAAAGGTAGATAAGGAGGTAGCTTCCTCCTGAGCAGGAAGTAGCAAGTTAGCATATCCAGGGATTATGTGCTACATTTATAGTACTGGCAATATTAATTTTTCTAATTTAAAAAAATGATTTTAAAACATCACTTTTGTTAATCTGTGCTGTTTAATTTTTAAATTAAAAATTATTATACAATTTTTAAATTTATTTTTAATATTATCAAATAAGCAAACTTGATCACACATATGTTCCAAACTAAACTATTTTGCATTAAAATTAGAACTAATTAAAAATTATGGTTATTGAAAAAAATATAAAAAACCTAAACAGAAAAGTTGAATTCTAAATTTTAATCAAACATAGCATCTTATAAGCAAATAATACATTCAGAAATAACAAAATCTAACTTCAGTATATTTTATTTTTACTTTAATATGTATATTTTTTTAGCCTCAAAATCTTGTTTTAACTGGTACATTTCCTGAGTGTGAAGTGAAACTGTGCGATTTTGGCATTTCAAGATACTGCAAAGGGACAGATGTGAGAGAAATAGTTGGCACCCCAGATTATATAGGTATGACCAAATTAAAATAGAAATGAAAACAATGGCCATATATTTTTATTTTTATAGATATTATTGTAATTAACATATAAATTCACTAGTTGTTGTTTCTAGCTTGTTTGCTTATCTTGTTAACTTGTTTTTATCATTTTTTTTCAGCACCAGAAATCCTAAACTATGAACCAATAAGTCTTGCTACTGATATGTGGTAAGTTCATTTTTAATTGTTTCAATTAGCTTAAACTGATTTTGGGCATTTTTAATCTTATGTATTAAAAACGTTTCAAGATTTTAGTTAACTATCCACCCATTGTCAGAAAAAAACTGTTTTTATTAATTTAAAAAATATATATTTTTCTTTTTTACACTCTAATAGTATGGTAAATGGATTGTTTTTGTAAAAAATCATATATTCAAAAGATAAGACTTGCGACACTAGGCATTACTGTTACTCAAGAACAAAAAATTTCATTGCAGTAATTTTTTTAAAACTATTTTTACGCAAATACTACTATATTCAGAAGTAAAATATCTATTCCGATTTAAAAATAACAAATAGAACATACACAAATATAATTTAAAGAAATAAAATGGAAAATTTATATCTGTAATTTCAAGTGAAAAGCATACCAGCAATGTGTGCAGTGTAAGTTTTGTTTGTGTCTTGTTATGGACAATTCTCAGTTTGTGCATAGCACATAATAGAATATCTTTTCTGTAATTTTTTAAAATAAATAAACCTGGTTATTTATAAACCATATTATTGTACTTTATAATTAGTAACTATAACTTAAAACTTTGTTTTGATTTGGAATAGGTCTTATGTATTTAATTGAACTTCAAGAGGCTTTGATTTTATCTTCTTGTCTTATTCTCTATTTTTCATAAAGTGAAAAATAATAATAATAAAAATGTAAAAGAAAGCGCTTGTGAAGTTCAATCAAAAACCGTAAATAAAAATAAAATACCAGTTCAAAGAAAAAATCAACAGTAAATTATATTTTATTCTAACTATTTACCTTCTCATTTAATTTTAAATAAGATTTTACTTTATGATTCTTGAACAAAAATATTTTTCTCAAATAATGCCCAAGCTATTTATTATAAGGAGGATATGGTTGGATTTCATAGCCAAGCACTTTTCATTTGTTCATAGTTTATACTGAAATATGTGGTTTTGAACTTTCAAGCAACAGATACACCTTCATACATCCAGTGTGTGCCATTTCTTTCTCGATCCTACGTTCAGTTCCAATTTTGGAGCAAGCTAATTGCATGTTGAATCAAAAGGGCTTTTCCTAGTTTGTCGCCTGTTCATTGCCTTCAATCTCTGGTATCCTGGCACCCACATATGTTAAGCATTCCCAGACCAATTTTGTGTTGAAGGTGAATTTCAGAACTGCTTGGCTGTCTATACACTTGGTCCCTTTTTAAGTATTTCTTCTGTATTCTGCCATTAATCTTTTGCAACTACTATATTCAAAATAGAGCCAATAAACAGTTTTAATTGTAAATAAAAGTAACTTTTATAACTTTAAAAAATTAAATTTCCCTTGTTTGTATTTTGTTTAAGGTCTGTTGGAGTACTGTTATACGTACTGTTGACTGGGTGTTCTCCTTTTGGAGGTGATACAAAGCAAGAAACGTTTTGTAACATAACTCACTGTAGGCTTGAGTTCCCTGATGATCTCTTTGAAGATATATCCGAGGAAGCGAAAGACTTGATGACCAAACTTATTGTTAAATTACCAAGGTGAGAACTATAGATTGTACAACAACTTTAATTAACCATCGTCATTTTTTGTTTTGTAATTTCGTTTTAGTGGCAGGCTATCGGCGAAGGAATGCCTTCAACATCCATGGTTTTCCAAAACTTTCAATGACATCGGACCATTTCCACCATCTAAAACAGTAGAATTAATTGATCACGAGAAAACTCAGAGACTTAAAGTACATATTCCTGAGGCACATTCTACACACAAAGTCGTGACTGAAGAAACTACACCAGAGGATACTAATAATAACAAACACAACAAGAACAGTCATCCATTGAAGGGCCTAAAGGAAGAAAGAAGACAGGTGTTAAAGACAAATCTAGCTAATCTTGTAAACAGGTTGGACAATGACACAAAGCTCAATCGGGTGGATAGCTTCAGCCGAAATCGTGCTTCAGGCATGCAGACGCTACCCTCTATAAGGTTCAACAACAATATCAACATCGAGAATACTGTCTTCAAATTCCAAAGGGTATAACAAAGAAAAAATAATATAATATAATATAAAATCTAATATTAGAATCATATATTTTCTTTTTTTAATACAGGCAGTTGTTATTGATGAAGATGAAGGATTTCCTCCTTCACCTGTCAGTACAGATAATTCATCGATTAGTGATTCAAGTAGTGACACGATATCGGATATGTCGATAGACTCTTCGTCCGATAGATCGAGCATCATTTCTCTTGATGATTCTTTGGATTATTCGTATAGATTAAGACAATATTCGTCATGTGCCAATTTATGGGAAGCTGTAAAAAACCAAAAGCCTACTTTGAAGCAGTGGCCACCAAAGGAATGCAGTGACTCTTTCATCAAGGCTATGTCCAGGTTCAGGTTCGTATACAGTTTAGTTATGCTCATTGAAATTGAAAATACACTACAGGAAGAGTATTTAAAAAACAGAAATAATAATAATAATTAAAAAAATGTTTACATACATTTTATTGCCTGCAGGATGGAGCCAAAACCTAAACTTACCATTTACAATGGTAGGCAGAAGTCCATTGGGCTTGATATTATTCGAAAGAATGACAACCAAGTAGTGATTCGTGAGCACAAAGCTATTAATAATCATTACACAAAGACAAGTGAGCTGAAATGCGAGTCGGTAAAGTCCAGAATACGGAAGTTCCAGATTCCAAGGCCGGTTCCGGAGCTGGACAACATATTTTAGCTCAAAAATAAAATTATTGTACAAATGTATATTAAATTCTCTGTGCCTACTTGTATAAATATTACCTAGTGATTTATACTTTCAAATTATTTTTATGTTCAAATTACAAACTTTATTTATTGTTGAATTATTGTGACATTTTGATGAATTAATGTTGAAGACTCATTGAAATAGTTTAATTTTTGTTTGTTTGTGGCGCTAATTATTAAAAAGTCACTATTTGTTTAATATACTGAAGTTAATCGTCTATTTAAGTCAATATTAATAATTCCAGTGGTTAATTAATTAAAAAATTAAGTGCTCAAATGTAATTAGGATTTAATAGACAATCAAGTCCAAAAGAACTCCAGTCAAAATGGATACAAAAACATGTTTACTGTTGCTATCTTTAAGAAAAAAACTAGTCATAATTTTTTTTAATTACCAAAAATGAAAAAAAATTAAAACTAAATTGGTGAGAAAATACCATTATTTGTGTGCAAATTCATATAAACTTTTACATATTTATTATACAGTATTGTAACTCTTGTCAAGTGCTATAAAACTTAATTTTTTACTGATCAAGTAATTTAATCATTGTTAATGTAATATTTTTGAAAATTTAAATTCGATTGAGCATCAAGTTCAATTTCGAAATTGCCATATTTAATCAAGTCTGTTAAAGCTAAACATGTGCCAAGGTAGTTCAGATAGGAGCTTGGTGAAATCAGAAGACACCGAAGTCTGTGATTTTAGTCAGGTTCTTTTAAAATGCATTTCTTAGCTATATTTGCTACGAGTGATTCATATTTGTACTTACTCTAGCTTAGGTAAAATAAGTTTTGTAAATATTTATTACATTAGTACACTAGTAAATTTGTGTTTTATTTATTAAATCAAATACAAAACAATTCCTATTAGTTCAGAAATTTTTGCCAAAACCATTTGTCAGTTATTTTTAGATGCTAAATGTGCAATAAAAATATTAGGAAATAATTAATCCATATATATTTAATGGTTATAATTGACCATATTAATTATAATTGTTTTTACCTATGCTCTTGGTTAATATGAAAAAGTTAATGTCACAGGTGGAATTCGAACTCACGGCCTCCGGCTCAACTTGTGAGGCATATTGAGCTGGAGGTTGTGGGTTCGAAATCTGCTCATGACGCTAAGTTTTTCATTTCAACCAAGACCTTAGATAACAAGAATAATTAATTGAAATTAAGAAATAATTTTAACCTGTTAAAAGAACCATTCCCTCCCCTGATTTATCAGCACAAGACATAGAAAAGTACAGTAGAAAAATCTTCCCTGTTTGTGTTATTTAAGTTGCACTGCCATCGTTAAAAAAATAACTTTGACATCTGTGTGGGTGTTTTTAGACCAATATTTTACTAACAGAAAAACTACATTAATAAGGTGTTTTTGTTTGTGTTATAATTTTTTATTTATTTAGACTTATAAACATTTAGACTCCATAGGCGACTTATAAATAAAATTGTCATGCATATGCTAAAATTGTATTTTCATTATATTTAGACTCCATAGGCGACTTATAAATAAAATTGTCATGCATATGCTAAAATTGTATTTTCATTATATATAAACATTTTAGACTCCATAGGCGACTTATAAATAAAATTGTCATGCATATGCTAAAATTGTATTTTCATTATATAATTTTACATTTTATAAAAAATTTCATATGGAAAAATAAAAACGGAGTTAGCATCCATTTTGTTCATTTTCGCACAGAAACTGACTACACACTGAAAAGTGAATGCTTTGGAGTTAAATGGAAAAACCAGGACTAGATGAGTGGTAAGAGTAGTAGGGCTAACCCCTTTCCTATCCAAGTAAGCTATATGTTAACTATTGTACTTGAAACAACCAATAACAATTTGTACCTGAAAGAAAAAATATGACTTTGACCGCGATTTATCTAAATAGATTTGGGCATCTTTTTGTCTACAAACTGCAATAAAAATTACATTTTTGTTGAACATTTTCAAAGAAAATGACTATGTTTGGGAACGAACTAGTAGAATTTAATCTACAAATCTACAGAGTGGAGGGTAAATAAAAAAAATTGCACAAGCAAAAAAATTTTTCTGGGTGATGGTGACGATGGTGCAAGTGTTAACTATCGATTATTGTTAACCTCTGGATCAAGGTGTGGTTTTGAAGAAAGAAGCAAATTCAGTTTAAACTAGTTAAAATATATTTAAACAATTGATTTAACAATCAATATAACTACAGTATATATCAATTATAACGGACTTCAGGGGACTATAAAATGTCGTAAGTGGTATTCACTGTAAGCAATATATTGCTTATAGTGGACAGTTCGTTATATCTGAACATTTTATCCAATTGATAGGCATGTAAGTTCATGACAGCAGTTTTCATTACATTTATCCTGGTTTATGAGAAAGTACCAAATACATACCTACTAATACAATTTTTTACATAAATGTTTTTAAAACATTAATACATATATGTATGTACAAATGTGTATGGATTTTTTTGACTATAGGATCATTGTAGTATGTAATTGATCTTTTTTAGTCAGTATTTTTTTACCTTTTGGTACTAATTAAATTGTTTGATTATTTTCGAATGAGACATACCCATTTTACCAGAATAGACTAAGGTCGTGGTTTTTAATTTAATTTAATTTATTTTTATTTTAGAGTCAAAAAAGGAGGAAGACACTAGGCAGCTGGGATTACTGTTGCATGCTGTCCACTATGACTTATAGTTCGCTATAAGCGGTTCCCTATGTTTTTACCTTGACATTTCATGGGACCGGAGATTTTGTACTATTTCTTCTGCATGTACAACATACAAAACAAAATACAGGTTGACATATTTAAGGTTTTTACAGGCGATCTCAAATTGCCTGAAAGACCGACTCAGTCTTCATGAAAAAACCGATAGAAATATGAACAATCCTTGCACGTTCAAGAGTATAACATCCCAGTGATTTTGCCTAAATTAAAATATTTGATAAAGAAAAACATACCTGACATCAATTGTTGAGGTTCTCATGTAACGAATGTCCAATCAAATACATTGTTCAAACAAAACAGAGAATAAAAAATATAATTTATGGTCTTGATTCTGACTGTGGCTATAAATCCAGAACTGTAAAAACATCCAATATTAAGTAGGCATAAATTTGACCTTTCATATGTTGAAATAATTGACAAAGAGTCTCAATTACTCAGAAGAAGAATATAAAATATTTTAAATACTAAAATGGAAAATAATAATTCAAAAGCCCATTTGTATGTCGGGTTCGAATGCAGGGCCGCTGGATTCGAACCCAGGACCTTTACCTTACAGTGATGAGCACCGTGTCAGAGATCTTTGGGCTTAAGTTCAGTTTATGAAATTCTTATTAATTTGAAAGAGGTCTTTGGTAAGGAGAGGAGGGCCTCCAGGATAAGGTTGCAATAGTGTTACAGTCATTGGCAATGTCGGTCTAAGTTGGTCTTCAAGGAAATTTGAAATCGCTTTTAAAAATTTAAATATGTCAATATGTAGACATATTTATATTATTTTGTAAGGTCAGTAAAGTTGTATTGATTGTTAAATATGTTTTTCATAATGTGAAATTAATTAAGTTGCCCTGATCATAACCTCTTTTTTCTTTCATAGACATTACCCCTGCCCATGGAGGGTTTCCATAATGATTACAGCTTTTCTGTAAATACTAAAATTTTTACAACTTCATTTTACTGTTTAATCTTATTAGGTATTTATTCTTATTGATGGCTTTTACTTCAATAAAGTCTTAACCTCAAAAGTTTTGTTGGATTCAGGAGGAGCAGTCAAGAATGAGGTAGTTCAGTTTCATTTTCTGCCAATGTTTCGACCTTTATTTGAGTCATCTATAGGTCATAAAGTAAGGTGCTTTCTTATGGTGACATCTTGGTGAAATTGTTGTGACAATACCAATATGACACCTCAAGATTAACTCCACATTTTATGACCCGAATGAAGGTTGAAATGTTGGAAAAAAAGAAAGAAAAAGGTGTTTTTCTAAACTACGTCATTCTTGACTCTCCTTATGAATTTAACAAATTATTAAAGAACCAGTAGCTGTAAAAAAACCCAAAAGTTTTTTTTTTTAATTAAATTATTTTCACATTACTATTTAATATTTATTTTTGTAACATTTCCAAATCAATTTGATTTTAAAAACTTCAAATTGTGTACAATGTTCTTTTGTCAGTCCATAATTCTGTATGCCAGCCGCTTCCTTCAAGAGTGATATGTCAAATCAACGAATATCTCTCTTGGTTGAACATCTGCCATTCGAAAATCATGTGGTGCCAAGATTGGGGTGTTCCACAGGTTGGGCGAAATGTAGATGATTCAGGGTATAGTATACTGCGCCCTTTAAGAGCTCCCTAAAGCACATCGGTGAGTTCTATTTCATCACCGGTTTCAGTGGTTGAAGCTCTTCTATGGTCACATTATACATCCCAAAACATTTCCTCCTGCGGGTTAGTGTAGCTCCCCAGTTTGTTAGTAGATGTGTTGATGTCTCTTCTGCCTCTTTGCAGAATCTGCATGTGCCATTTTGGATTATTCCAATCTTCTTTAACTGACCATTTAACTTGCAGTGTACTGTTAGGAATCATATTAGGATTCGCAGTTTATTCCTGCTTCCCTTGACACATTCTGTAATTTCTTTTCTTCCAAAATTGGTTAGAAGATTCTTGGATTGTCTGTGTCCAATGAGTGAATTACATAGTTCCCTCATTTTCTTGTTGTCCTTCTGTCTGAGATACTTGTTAATAGTTCCTATGCCACAGAAGGGTTCAGGCCCTTGCCTTGCAAGGGTGTCCGCTTTCTTGTTGCTTTTTACTCCCATATGTCCTGGGACCCAGCAGAGGCTGACTTTGTTCTGCGTACCTAATATGTTTAGTTTGGTTTTGCAGTTCAGCACCATCCTTGAACTAATGATTTTTGAGCTTAGTGCTTTGATGGCTGCTTGGCTATCTGACAAGATAGCTATATTCTTGTTTTTGTACCCTTTACTTAGGTTGAGTTGGGTACATCTTTCGATTGCAAGAATCTCAGCTTGGAAGATACTGATGTATTTTCCCATGGGTTCTGAGTATTTGGTTCCAGGTCCAAATACTCCTGCCCCTGTACCTTCTTGTGTTCTAGGTCCATTTGTGTACCAAAGGATGGCGCCATTCTTAAAAGAGGTGTTTCTCTCTAGTTCCCATCTTTTTTGGTACCTAGGTTTATTTGGAAGGTTTGATTAAATTCAAACATCCTGTTCATGTCGTCTCTCAGAGCCATGAGTATGGTCTTTCCATAGTTTGTTGCTATCTCTCAATTTTAGTTTTATTCCTGTTGGAGGTTTCTCTTTGGTAAAATTACTGATGGTTTTCTGTGCTGTCCTTACTATCATGTGGTGTAGGGGGATTAATCCCAGTACTTTTTCCATGCTAATTGTAGGACATGTTCTCATTGCTCCTGTTATGCAGATGCTTGCAAGTCTCTGTATTTTTGTGAGTTCTTTTCTTTTAGTTACTTGTTCTGCTTTATCAGCCCAGGCTATAGCTCCGTATGTAAGTATAGGTCTTACTATCATGGTGTACATCTATAGCAGGGTTTCCGGTCTGCATCGCCAGTTCCTGCTATTCTTCTGCACACCATCAAAGCTCGCGTCTTCTTCATGATGGCAGAGTCAGTGTGTTTCTTAAATGTTAGTGTTTTATCTAGTGCGATGCCCAGATATTTGACTTCTTTTTTTATTTATTTCACGGTATTATTTGCCTCATGTAATCTAGTTTCTTTTTCCGTGTAAAAGCGACTATAGTTATTTTATTAGGGTTGATTCCTAA